GCCTGTGGCTGCCTTGCGGTAGCTGCGATCACACTGGAGCCAGACTACAACTGGCAGCAGGCACCCGGGTGCATCTCAGGTGGGAAAAGATCATGCCAGGCGGCCGACCTCGGGGCTCAGGGAGAGACCCAGGCCCTGGGAGCCTGGCCTTTAAAACCCAGCCCATCCTCTTCTGGGCAGATGACCGTGAACCAGAAGTGTGCAGCAGCAACACGAGCAAAGCCAAGTGCCGTGTGCCGTGTGCCGTTCTTTGCTGCCACCTCCAAGTCTGAGTGGCCAGCAGGCCAGGGAGGAGGTATGGGAGCTGGAAGGGGCTGCTGCTTTCTCTTGGTCTCATTGCTGTTACCTGGCTGTGTCAGCTCTTGGGGCTGTGCCTGTGTGCCCCAAAGACTCCCCGTGCAGGCCATGGGGTGGGGGACGGCGCTGTGGTGTAGTAGGTAAAGCCACTGCCTGCAGTGCCAGCATCCCATATGGGTGTTGGTTCGAGTCCCGACTGCTCCACTGCCTATCTGGCTCTCTGCTATGGCCTGGGAAAGCAGTAGAAGATGGCCCAAGTCCTTGGGCCCCTGCACCCACATGGGAGACCCAGAAGAAGCTCCTGGCTCCTGGCTTCAGATCGGTGTAGCTCCAGCCGTTGTGGCCATTTAGGGAGTGAATCATGGGATGGAAGACCTCTCTCTTTCTCTGACTCTCCTTCTCTCTCTGTGTAACTCTGACTTTCAAATAAAATAAGTCTTTAAAAATAAAAAGATACTGGGGGCAGATTGATAGGACAGACTTGTGACTGGAGTTGCAGAAGCAGAACTTAGGACATCTTCCCTCCCTAGACAAGATAACCGCGCACAGCTGCTTCACCAGATAATTGGGAGCAGTCACGTTTCAAGGTTAGTGTCAGGGATCCACTTTCCTTCCTTTGTCTCTGGTTGTGGCCATGTTTCCTCTACAGCCACACCGCTCAAGTTCATGCCACAGAGCGTATTTCAATGGAAAATTACCTGACATGGTTGTTGTCAAGAGTGGTCAAGTATTATTTTGGGAGTTCAGTTAGGGAGACCTTAAGTCCTTTTTCTAGCAAGATTGCAGACGTGGACTAATGGGTCAGATTTTGCCAGCTGCAAACATGTTTGCCTTTTAGTTGGTTTGCAGCTTCTTTACCTTCTAGAGTACAGAGAGCGGCTGCAAGTGACAGATACATGGTCATGATGAACCCTGGGGCTTCACAGAGTGACAGGACTGGGGAGGTTTGGGCAGGGCCTGGGGGTAAACTGCCCTGGCTCTTGTCACCATTGAAGCAGCAGGAGGACATCTCACCAAGAATCAGTAGGTGGTGGTGGTATTTTGTGAAGTCCTACGCTGCTTTCCAGCCTGGTGACAACTTGACCAAGCTTGGGCTTAGTGCCCAGCTTGTAAAATGGCAAGTATGCATACGTGCATTGGGGGTTAAGTGCAGGTATGCAGGCAAATGGCACGAAACCACACCCATAACGAGAGCTTGATGAATGGAGATGGTGGCTGGCAAGTAGGGGCGAGTGTTCACTTCCCTAAACAGCACGTGAAGACACTTCAAATTCTTAGTGGGACTTCTCTGACAATACGGGGGCCGGGGCGGGGGGTGCAGAGAGAGAGAGAGAAAGAGAGAGACTTGATATTCAGAGTCAAGTGTAAGTGTGAAGTTCTGTGTAAATGTTTTAGGTAGTTGCAGCCTCGAAATGTTACTTCTTTACTATCAAAATTATGTGACTTTTCATTTGAAAAAATTTTAGTTACTGGGGCTGGCATTGTGGTGTAACAGGTAATGCCACTGCCTGCGATGCCTGCATCCTGTATGGGTGCCAGTGTGATTCCTGGCTGCTCCACTTCCGATCCAGCTACCTGCGAATGTGCCTAGGAAAGCATTAGAGGATGGCCCAAGTCCATCTCCCATGTGGGAGACCCGGAAGAAGCTCCTGGCTGCTGACTTTGGCCTGGCACAGCCCCAGCCATTTTGGCCATTTGAGGAGTGAACCAGTGGATGGAAAATCTCTCTCTCTTTTCCTTTCTCTCTCTGTTACTCTGCCTTTCAGATAATTAAAATTCATCTTTTAAAAAATTAATTTGCTTGAGGGGTAGAGAGAGAGAGAAAGAGACAGAGAGACAAGGAGACAGAGAGCACACTCATCTATTAGTTCACTCCCTTAATGCCCTTAATGGTAGGGGTTGGGCCAGCATTCAATTCAGGTTTCTCTATGGGTGGCAGGCATCCAATTATTTGAACCATCATCTGCTGTCTCCCAGGGACCACGTCGGCAGGCAGCAGGAGTCACAAAAGGACTTCCACTGTGGCTTGCTTGCTCTATGAAAGCCGCCCTGCCTCTCCATGCCCAAACCAGAAGCATCAGTGTGGCTGCCGAGTAGGGGCTGGACAGCAGGGAGGGACAGCCCCAGCTCCAACTTCTCCTGCCTTGACCTAGCTGGAGGCTCTGCAGTCCAAGCCAGGCTCACCTTCTGTACTGCCCATTGTACTTCCTTGTCCACGTCCCGCAGGCTGGGCAGAGCCCTGGAGCAGGATGGGAGGTGGAGGGGAGGCGTCCTGGCCTGGCCCTGCCCAGCCAGCAGGTGTAGCCAGGGCCTACAGGGTGCTGAAGTGTGTTGGGGAAGGTGGGCCTCCCCGCCGCAAATGTTCCTCTTGTGACTTCATCCCCACCCAACCACAGGGACCTCCACAACATCTCCTGTGAGAGGCTGCAAACTATTCTCAGTGCTTCACGCCTTCTGCCTTGGGCTAGCCTCACCTGGGCATTTCTCTGCCACTTGTCTATTTGCTGTCCAGGGCTGGTGCTAGCGTGGGGGCAGCGAGGCACTGCGGCCACCCACCCTCAGAGTTGCGTAAGTGCTGGCCCTGGAGCTCTGTTCCCCGGTGATGTAATGGAAGTCCGTGGGCTGAGGGACCGGAGGTGCTGGGGACACATGTGCTCAGCTAGCACGTGAGCTGCTGAGCTGGGGTCCTCTGGGGCTTGTTCATGGACTTGGCAGAGCAGACACCCTGAGGAGCCCTCACAGCACAGAGAGGGGCTGTGAGCAGTGGGCAGGGGAGGCCCTGAGAGCCGTGGCCCGGGCTAGCTCTGCCCTGCTCACCACCATCAGGGGCAGAACCTCAGGACCGGGAGCTGAGCCTTTTGCTTTGCTCACTTGGATTCTGCCCTCGAGGCTTAGGAATCCAGTCTTTGGCATAGGTAGCAGGAAAGAGCCAGGGCCCCTCTGCCAATAAGGAGAGAACTGAGGCTGATGGGCCCCCTTGGTAAGTGCCTGTGAGCTTCGACAGGGAGCCCTGGGGCACGGCTGTGCTGCAGCCCTGGTTCCAGCATTTGCCTGGCTGAGCACACAGAAGTTGCCCCAATAAGTCCATTGGGAGTAGCGTCCAAAAACTAAGGCCCAGGGCTCTGTGCTGTGGCACAGCAGAGTAAGCTGCCACCTGCGGCACCAGCATCCCACAGTTCAAGTCCCAGCTGTTCCTCTTCTGATCCATTTCCCTGGTTATGGCCTGGGAAGGCAGTGGAAGATGGCTCAAGGACTTGGGCCCCTGCACCCATGTGGGAGGCCCGGAAGCAGCTCCTGGCTCCTGGCTTCAGATCTGCCCAGCACTGGACATTGTGGCCATTTGGGGAATGAACCAGCAGATGGAAGATCTCTCTCTCTCTCTCTCTCTCTCTCTCTCTCTCTCTGTAAATTTGTCTTTCAAATAAATAAATAAATAAAATCTTTAAGAAAAGAAAGAGGGAAAGGCAGTGAGCAGATGGGAGAAGCCCGACCCAGGAGAGCACACCACACTGTGCACACACGGGGCCTCTGTCTGCCCCTCTGCCTTCAGCATGGGAAGAATCGTGTGTCACGCGTGTCTCTGTGACTCCCGAACACGTGGGGCTGGGGGACTGGGCTTCCTTTCGCTGTGTCATCGATGTGACTCAGGCCCCTGGGGAACGTCAGTGACGAAGCCAGGAGGTTTCCCGAGAGGCGGCAGAGGAGACCTCTGTCCCCGGCCTGGCGGCACACCTGTGAAGGCAGCCAGGGCCGTTCTGTCTTTCCCTTTGACTGGGTGTAGATTCGGATCAGTGCTGCAGCCCACAGCGGGCCGGGGATCACGTTGTGAAAACAAGTTGCCCACTTCCTACAGGCGGGGGTGGGGATGAGTAAGGATGAAAGGCAGGGTGGTGTCACAGCCTGCATCCCCCTCTTTGCCCCCACTTTGAACAGGCCTGGGTGGGAGCCGCACCTGCAGGCTGCCTCCCACTGAGGGCTCCCCAGGCTCCTTCCCACAGCCAAGGCACCCAGGGAGGCACCCTGCAAGCTTGTTCCACAGGAGGGAACCGAGGCTCGTGGAGCTCACAGAGCTTGCCCAAGGCTGTACAGTGAATCGGGCTGGCCATGCTGTCCAAGGTTGCACAGCCAGGAGGGAGGGGGCCACGCCGTCTGGCTGTTCAGACATGTGTCAAATGACTCCCGTGGAATGATGTTTGTAGTTTGTGGAGGGAATTCTGATTGATTCCGATGTTTTACTATAACAGTGACCTTTTAAAATTGTTTCTTTTCCAAACTTTTAAATTACTCCCCACAACCAAAGTAATATATGATTGTTACAAACATTTACATAATGTGGAACTGTACAAAACCAGACATAGAAATTCCCCATAGTCACAGCCATTAGTAGCTTGGAGTAAATCCTTAGAGAGCTTTCTTTGTACATATACAAGCAAAAGCACCCAGAGGCCTTGGCAAATTATTAGAAAAAAAAAAAAGATCAAGCTTGCAAAACAATGAGATTTTCTATATTTTTTATCTTATATATTCCATCTGCATTACATCTTATATTATAAGCTTTAAATTTTCTGTTTGAAAAAGTACCTGCAGAAAAAAATCTGGACAAACAAGAGACTTCCAAATGCTGATTTTACATGTTCCTGCAATGTTCTGTATTGGGGTTTCAAATATCTTTATTGAAATATAATCTTTATATCCATCTCTAGGTATGAAAGTGGACATACAACTCGATGACCTCTGGCAAACTAAGCACACACAAACAACCAGCTCCCCGATGGAGGAACAGGACCTGTCAACGCCTCCCCTCAACAACCCCATGCTCTAAGGATCACCAGCCCCAGGGTGACTGTATCCTGGCTTCTGACAGCGTGTATTTGTTTGGCCTGTTTTCATCTGTCCTTGAATCTTGATGGTGATCATGTATTGGATTAAAATGAGATTTAGTGAATAGGCATTTGGTGCCACATCCCCTCTTGAATGCCTGGGTTTGAGTCTTAGCTCCGATTCCCATCCCAGTTTCCTGCTTGTGCACAGCCTGGGAGGTAGCAGGTGTTGGCTTAAGTACTTGTGTCCCTTCACCCACATGAGAGTTCTGCACTGGGTTCCAGGCTTCTGGCTTCAGCCTTGCCAGCCCCTGCTATTGCAGATATTTTAGGCACGGACCAACAGATGGGAGCTGTCTGTCTCTCTGCCTTTCAAATAATGAAAAATAAATAAAAACTTGGGAAAATGGAATAATCAACACGATGTTACCAAAATACATGCATGTGCAGTGGTCATCATTTGGCGTCAATATATATGGATCTAGCTCAAAATTCAGTAACTCATACAGATAGCATCATAATTTATCTGACTGGTCCCTTTTGATGGACATTCGTGTTGTTTCCAGTTTTTGGCTAATAAGCAGCACTACACGGAACATGTTAATGCATATTTCTTTATGAATATAATTTTAAGATGTATTTATTCACTTGAAAGGCATAGTTATGGACAGAGAGAGGGTGAGACAGAGGGAGAGAGGGGTCTTCCATCTGCTGATTCACTCCCCAAATGGCCACAATGGCTGGAGCTGATCTGATCTGAAGCCAGGAGCCAGGAGCCAGGAGCCAGGAGCCAGGAGCCAGGAGCTTCCTCTGGGTCTCCCATGTGAATGCAGGGGCCCAATCATTTGGTCCATCTTCTATTGCCTTACCAGACCATAGCAGACAGCTGGATCGCAAGTGGAGCAGCTGGGACTCCAACTGGCACCAATATGGGATGCTGGGACCGCACACAGATTCTTAACTTACTATGCCAGAGCGCTGGCTCCATGAATATAATTTTTTGATGTGCTCCTTTAGCATAAATGCTTGAGTGGAATTGCTAGTTAATATCTAAATTAAAGTATGCATATATCTAAATCAAATTATAGATATGTGTGTGTGTGTGTGCACTTGCCATAATGGCACTTCAGAAAATAGTAACAGTTCAGCTTCTTCTTTAAAACCAAAGTCAGGTGCTGGGTGCAGACCTCCTTACCGCAGCTCCCGCTGCTCCGGCCCCCAGCACGGTGAGGGGGGGCCCACAACAGGTGCTTGCTGCACAGATAACAGACCCCAAAGCACGAGCCACCTCTGCCCGCAACCTAGCCTCATGCAAACTTGTAAACAAGACGGCAGCAGGGACACCAGGCAAGTGTCAGGGCCTGAGACAGAGGCCTTGAGGCCTGTTCTTGCTTCCGCTGTGGACGGGTGTGAGCGGCTGTGAGGCCCTTGGTCTCTTTCCACTTGCACAGAATGGCCAGGCTGGGAGCTGCCTTAACAAAGAACCTCGGAGGGGGCTGCTCCAGCCCATTGGGTCTCTGTCACTCCCACCCTCAGCCCTGGAAGGCAGCTTGTTCCTGGTCTGCCGGGCTGAGGTCAGCGCTTTTGCTCAAGCCATCTATGGCCTATCTAGATCCTACCCAACACAGCCAGAGGCCAAGAGCTGGCCACACTGCCCCCTCCCTGCCAGACTCTTTCCCCTCTCATCATCTGTAACATTGTTCCATTCTGGCTGCAACCTGGTTTGCGAGGGCCCTTCTTTGAACTTGATTCTCCTTTGCCCTGGACATGGTGCTCCTGGGGAACACAGCCTCAGGGTGCATCAGGCCACTCATGCCCAGGCTGAGGGCACACAGTCCTCGTGGCCGCCCCCTACTCCGGCTCTGCAACTGTTCTCCCTGCAGCCGTCTTCCCTGACCGCCACGGCGGAGAGGTGACGAGAAAACAAATGGACAGAGGCCCCGATGACTCTGACCTCCTCTGGCACAAGGCCGCTTTGGGGCGCTAGTGCAGGTGCTGGGGAGCTGGCTAGCAGGACTGGGCCCGTGGCACCTGCCGCCTGGCTCTGCCTGCCCTGGGAGCTCCATGGCCGCCCCGCTTTCTCCATTCCCACAACCAGGGCTGCCAGTGAGGACCGCAGATTGCCAAATGAGGACGGACACATCTCAACCTTGCTCTGTCTGTCCGCTGAGCACCGGCATCTTGGCTGTGCTTGGGTTTCCCTGATGTCACAGAGGCTGGGTGCAGTTTGACCCCTGGGCTTTTTATAGCCAAGAACACCTCCCTTAAAGAGATCAGAAAATGCGAGGAGAAACTGACACACCACCAGGGAGTAGAAGTGAAAGTGAGAACCTTCCTAAGGGGAGGGGGAGTGAACTGCTGCCCTCAGTCCCACAAGGTCCTGGCTCCAAGGAGAGGCCTCAGGGCCGGGCAGCCGGGAGGTGGGCAGCCTCTCTCAGGCCGCCTTTCTGCGAGCATGGCCAGCCACAGCCTGGCCCATCAGAGACTGAGCAGCCACTGCCATGCCTCCCCCAGGCCAGGCTACATGCAAAGATGGTGGCTGGGCAGTGACCAGCAAAGGTGCGAGCCCAGCCCAGGGATGGGACAGGAGGCAGAAGTGGTGTCACGGGTGGCATGTGGGACCCAGGTCTCCGGCAGCCTCTGGCAAGTGCCTTCTCCCTCAGATTCTCCAAGGCCGGCTGAAAATGCGTATACATGCATGAGAACTGGCGACAGTGAGCAGCAGGTGGTTGCAGCGGGTCCCCTCTGTCCCCACGGCGCAATGCGTCCCTTCTCGCTCATGTTTCCCGATCTTGCTCATTACTGCTTTATTTTTTTTAAAGATTTACTTCTTTATTTGAAATGCAGAATTACAGAGAGGCAGAGAGAGAGAGAGAGAGAGAGAGACACAGATATCTTCCATCCATTGGTTCACTCCCCAAATGGCTACAGGCCACAATGGCCAGAGCTGAACTGATCCGAAGCCAGGAGCCAGGAGCTTCTTCTGGGTCTCCCACGTGGGTGCAGGGGCCCAAGGACTTGGGCCATCTTCTGCTGCTTGCCCAGGCCATAGCAGAGAGCCAGATAGGAAGTGGAGCAGCTGGGATTCAAACCAGCACCCATATGGGATGCTGGAACTGCAGATGGTGGCTTTACCCACTACGTCACAGCACCAGCCACTGGTCAGTGTCTTTCTACAGCAGGACAGGAGAGAGGGACTCATTGCTCATCTGTAAAACCTGAAAACAACAGCGTGTCAGGAAACCACTTATTTCCAGTCAGATGATTCTAGATTTCCCGTAACAGAGAGGCACAGCCCATGAGGGCGAGGGGTCTCCCCAAGTAGCCTGCAGCCAACAGCCTTGTGCTAGTATGTTTTTAGGGTCCATCTTTCTCTGTAAAAAAATTAAAAAGCTTTAAAAAAAAAAGGGTAGCCCAAATAACTCTAGCTTTGAATAGTGTTACTTCCTGCAGTACCGGCTAAGAAGAGCCACCCACAAATGCACACCCTGGGGCCAGCAGGAACTGGCTGCTGGTGGACACGGTGACAGGCTGGTGGCACCTCGCTCCCGAGGCACCCCGAATCCCCAGCGGCTCCTTGCGAGGCCTGCGGGGCTGCCTCATCTACAGCTGGATCATGAGAGCCACACCTGAGGTGGTTTTCAAACTTTTTTTCTTTAGCCACAAACCCTTTTGTTCAAATGACATCTTACATGTAGGTGTGAACCCAGACAAAAGGTAGGAGCATTGCTAACACAGAGAGTACGAGGTGGGCTCAGGGCCTGCGCCGACCCCCTTCCCCGGCTCCACTGCGTCCCAGGTGGGCTTACAGTGGAGCTGTGGTGCTCAGGGCCCTGGGACCCTCTTCCAGCCGAAGCTGTGTCCGTCTGCCCCCAAGCATTTCTATACGGAATACATGGCTGTTCTCAGGAGCCAATGGAATGCAGGAAGGGGCAGAGGTGACAATGTCTCTTCTTTGAGAGAGAAAAACTGAATCCAAAAACTCGGCCTGTGGCCCGGGGCCAGGAGTAGCCGTAGCCTCCGCTCATTACCGGCCTTGCACGGCCTCGGTCTGGGCCCCCACGGCTCACGGGGCCTCCTGAGAGCTTTCCAGCCTCCGTGCTGTGAGGCTCAGCCTGTGGGAACCCATGGGTGGAGGGTGGCAGCTGGGACACAGGCAGCTCTCCCGGGAAAGGAATGAACTGCTGGTGGGGAAGGCTGGCCTTGGGGTGGATGCACCTGCCTCGCCACTGATCTGCAAGGTGGAGGAAGGCCCCTCCTGTCTCACGAGCTCGGGGCAGGGGGGGGGGGCCCTGCGGCACTCCATGCCTGTGAAGGGGGATTGCTGTCCTCAGGAGAGCTCCGAGCCGAAGGCCGTGCGTGTGGAATGCACCTAAATGACCGGTTGGTCTGTCTGTGGAGGTTGTATCTTCCAGAGCCCTGTCTCTGATTGTTTTGAAGGTGAAATCTGTCGGGGGCCCCTGGCTGTGGCAGGGCGGGAGGCTGTGAGCAGAGCTCCCCAGGGAAGCCTCACACTGGTCTGAGCCACACCCCCTTCCCGCACTTACTGTTTCATGAAGTGTAGCCGCGCTCTCCTCTGCAGGCCTGGAGGAGGAAAGCAAGGGTAGGCAGTCAGCGTGGGCCGTGGGCCACCGGCGGCAGGGCCCAGAGACAAGGAGGAGAAGGAGGGGGTGGGGGGGCAGCCAACACCTCAGATCTCTTTCCTGGTGCCCGGCGCTGTCCTAAACACGTCACACATTTCAACTTCCTTTACTTTCACTGGGAACCTATGAGCTGGACGGGACTTCGATCTCTATTTTATAAATGGGGAAACTGAGGCATGGAGGGAGTGAGTCTCTGAGTTACTCATCCAAAGACACCCAGCTCGTAAGCAGAGAAGCCAGAATCAAAACTAATCTGCCCCAGAGTGTGTGTCCTTCAGCTTGCTCTCTCGCCCTTCAGAGCAGGTCAGAAATGAGAGATCAAGGGGCCGGCACTGTGGGCCAGTGGGTTAAGCCAGTTGCTCCACTTCCAGTCCTGCCCGGTGGGGTCCTGGCTCCTGGCTTAGGTCTGGCTCACCCCTGGCCATTGTGGCCATTTAGGGGGTGAACTAGTGGATCGAAGATTCTCTCTCTCTCTCTCCCTCCCCCTCCCTCCCTCCTTCTCTCTCCATCATTCTGCCTTTTGAATACATAAGTAAATTCTTTTTTTCTTTTTTAAGGGAAGAATTGGCAGCCCAGCAGATGGGCGGTCTCAGCAGAGCACAGGTACTCACAGGGTGAGCAGGGCTGCCTGCTGGGACATAGGAGGGAAATACAAGCAAGTCTACTGACACATCTATCTCTTCCTTGTTGACTTTTTATCTTTGGAGTACATATTTGAACATCCAGGATACATTAAATAAATACATTAAATAAGTACGGTAGTCACAGTATTTCAACTTTTTCCTGGTGATGTCCTTGATCAGATAGGTTTGCAGAACACTGATCTTTACCGGGGTTCTCAAGGAGGGTACAGACTCCTTTGTGTGATGAGGCTAACGGCATACACAAGCAGGTGCACTACTCCGGGCACGGGGTTCACAGTTGCCGTCAGCTATTCAAAGCGGTATGTGACCTATACGAGGGGAGAGCCACTGGTCCTTGCTGCCCCTCCCATTTATAGGAGCATGAAGAGGACACCCAACTTGCTCGAGGTGGCACACAGCGAGAGAAGTGCCAGGGATGGACTTGGGGCTCTGAGCTCTCGGCCCCATCTTTGCTGTGAACCCATCCCATCCTGAGTGGCCAAGAGCAGCAGCTGTCCCAGTTTCCCTGCAGCCTCATCAACACGAGGATTGCTAGCTTCCCTACCCCTACCCCGGCCCTGCAATTGCTTCTGGGCTCTGGGCTGTGATGTCAACTGCTCACATGCGTTACCTCCCACGGGGCACACGCTACGGCTGGGCTCTCTGGCTGGGACTTTACAAAGAACAACCTGGGAGGCAGCTGAGGCTCAGGCCAGGCACACACCCAAGGTGGTGACGTCATGCAGCAGTGTTAGATGTAACTGGGTTTGTCTGACTCCAAAGGCAGAAGGGTTTCTGATTGGAGCTGTATGGCCATGAGCCAAGAGTCACCTTAGGGATCAACATAGTTTTTCTGGGACAAGTTTCCAGCAGGCTACCACCTGCTCTGCTCCCCTAGGGAATAAAGTACCCCCAGGGACATGTCCAACGGCCAACGGGGCCACCAAGTGGAGACAACTCACAGTGCTGGTGGAGGGCCACACCCAGGGATACCAGCAGAACCAGGACGCCGGCCACCAGCAGGCAGAGGATGAGGGGGCCACAGGGCAAGCCTGGAAGAGACACACACAACTCGTTCTCGACTCCAAACATTGGAGACATGGACGGAAATTCAAACAGAGAGAGTCAGCTGGAAGGCCCCCTCCCAGAGACACCGCCATCCGCATCCTGGTGACCAGTCGGCATCCTTGGGACTGGTTATAGGACCCCACCGCCTTGGATACCCAAATCCCTGGAAGCACAGTCTCTTGTATAAGCCGGCATGGCATCTGCATCACCTCCACGCACATCCTCCTGTGTGCTTCAGGCTGCAGATCCTACCTGCTATAATGTAGGTGCTGTGTCAACAGCTGTTACAGTATTTAGGGAACAGGGACACGAACAAAGTGTGTGTGTGCTCAGGACAGATGCGACGAAGCAGGCTGACGTCACCGCGCACACAGGCAACACGTCACAGCTTGCTTCAGACGTTCTCCCTCTGAAGCGGGGGGCTCAGCAGACGTGCAGGGCCCTCCTGTGTCTCTCCTTCTGAGTTTTCTCTACGCACCTCACATATCGCTGAGATCATTTTGCATATAAAATTTCATGGCTCACATCCACCTTTTAAACATGAATTAAATTCCGGAGCTATTTATGTTCAAAGCAGGTGGACAATGCTCATGCCTTATAATAGGATTTTTCTTTGTTGATTAAAAATCTTTTCATTTCCAGGGCCGGCGTCGTGGCTCAACAGGCTAATCCTCCGCCTCGCGGCGCCGGCACACCAGGTTCTAGTCCCGGTCAGGGCACCGGATTCTGTCCCGGTTGCCCCTCTTCCAGGCCAGCTCTCTGCTGTGGCCAGGGAGTGCAGTGGAGGATGGCCCAAGTGCTTGGGCCCTGCACCCCATGGGAGACCAGGAGAAGCACCTGGCTCCTGGCTCCTGCCATCGGATCAGCGCGGTGCACCGGCCGTAGCACGCCAGCCGCGGTGGCCATTGGAGGGTGAACCAACGGCAAAAAGAAGACCTTTCTGTCTCTCTCTCTCACTGTCCACTCTGCCTGTCCAAAAAAAAAAAAAAAATCTTTTCATTTCCCAAGCAATAGCTGATATGGGATCAGAGTGGACTTTGACATCCTTACTCCTTCTGGAAGGAACCACCACTGTTCATCTGTTAGCTTTCTCTTTGTATTTATACAGAATAATCTCCATGGATACGTAGAGTTTTTTTTTTTTAATACAGTGAATTATGCCATCCAAATTGCTCTGCCACTGGCTCTTTTTCCTTCGCACAATCGGGCCACATATTCTTTTCATCCAGAAGAACAGCACTGGCCAGCATGGATGTACTATGGGTCATTTCACTACCGGGGAACAGGGGTTGTTTGCTGTGTTTTACCAATAGCTACTGAGCACATTGTGGCGTGCTGCCTTGCCCAAGTGCCTTCCTGAGGCAGACACTGAAAATGGGAATTACCAAACCATAGACCATGTCCATTTATTTATTTATTTGAAAGGCACGTCCATGGATAGTTTTTTATAACATTCACTTTTCATGAAATTGCTAGAGACCCCTTGTATGCATGGATTCCAAAAACTTTTTGCACCAACATAAACTTACCTTCTCATTCTATTTTCCACAAACTTCTAGAAGTATCCTGGCACTTTATCAAACAGGCTTATGTATCCCCATCTTGCTGTTGCCTGAGACTGGGCCCTCTGCCCAGGGTTCTGCTGTTGCCTGTCTGGTGCCCTCCCCTTGTGGCAGCTTCCCTCCCCCACCTGCTGGGTGCCCCTCCTCAGATGATTTCTGCACCTGGCATCCTTAAGACACAGCAACCCAAGCCCGAGGCAGCCCTGGTGGGGGGACCGCTTGTGGTTTGTTCTGGGGGTGACAGCAGATGGCACTTGCTGTTTTTCACCAGTAACCCTTAGGGGGGGTTGCGATCAGTATTTTTGGGCTGATGGGTTCAAGGAAACTGTATGTGCCAACTCTGGCTGAGGTGCCTGGTGCCTATAGCACACAGAGGGAAGTTTGTCCATTCATTAACAAATATATATTAAGTCCCTAATCTGTGTTGGTGCCTCTGTTAGGCATCAAAACTGGAAAAATTTAATGTGCTGATTCTTTAGGCTGTTTTTCTTGCATAACAGCATCATTGAAATATAACTTACATACCATAAATTCCACCAGATTAAAAATGTATAATTTGGTGGAGGGGGGACATGTGGCTTGGTGGTTAAGGCACCAGTTAACACGCCATGTGTCCTATATCAGAGTGCCTGGGTTTGAATTTGCTGCCAGCCCTTAGGTATTTGGAGAGTGCCTCTCTCTCAAATAAAGGAACAAAAATAAAAAATGAAGTATACAATTTAATGGCTTTTAGTATATTAACGGAGTTGTGCAAGCATATCCAAGTCTAATTGTAGAACACATTCATCCCTCCCTAGCCAAATAAACCCCGTGCCCATTGGGAGTCACTCCCATCTCTCTCCCCATCCCTCCAGCCTTAATCTACTTCCTGCCTCTGCAGAATGTGTGTTCTGGACATTTCAGGCCAATGGGATCATAAAACACCTAGTCTTTGGTGAGTGGCTTCTTTCACTCAGGCTCATCCGTGCGATGGCAGAACCAGCATCTAAGTCTTTATTACAGCCAAGCGATAGTCCATTGCAATGGGTGTATGTCTTGTTGTTAGCCCACTCATTAGCTGGTGGCTATCTGGGCAGTTTCTGCTCTTGGGTTATTATGAATACTGCTTCTACGAACATTCGAGTGCGAGTGTTCGGGTGGACACACCGTCCATTACATTTGGTCCTGCGAGGAGTTGCAAGCCCGTCCCCTGATCAGTGAATGACTGTCCTGCTCAGTGCCCCTTCCAACCCCAGCTCAGGCTGCAGAGCAGGCGACAGGGTCAACACTTGGCAAATGCTGGTGGAAAGAGGGAGAGAAGAAGCTGTTTGCCTGGTTTTGAGGGTGCAGGTGCAGGGGAACAAGAGAACTCACCCTTCTGGGTCACTGGGTTGGGGAACCGGCACACTCTCTTCTTGGGGGTGGACTTCTTGGTGGGCTGGGCAGTGGTGGGAAACATGTGAACTACGGAGAGAAAGGAGAATGCACCCCTCGGTCAGGTAAGGAGCAGGGGACGCAGAGGCCAGCCCAGAATGGCGCGCCTCGCATCCTCACAGCCGTGACCCACCCAGGCTCCGACAGGGCTCGAAGGCTGCGGGGCACGAGCATTTGTGATCTGCGTTCTCGTCGATATAACTAGGACCCAAGGATGGGGGTCAGCTTGGTGTTCTAGAGAGAGGGACCCTGGAGCCACTGGACCTGACCAGAGCCCGGCTGCCCAGTTAGCTGCTGTGTGAGCTGGGGCAAATCATCACACTTTTCTGTGCCTCAGTGTCCCCACCTGCTGAAGTAAACATGAGCCCCCCCCCCTTCCCAGCACAGCTCTGAGGATCCAGCAAAGTGTGCAGCACACAGAGCGACCCCTGGCTGAAGACCCCAAGTTGAAGCTGTGACCCCAAGTCCTTGGCATGACCAGCCCCTCAGCCCACCTTGCCAACCTCTCAGCAGGTGGAAGAAGATTCTAGAAAAGAGGTGGCGTCCTTTCCTCATACAAAGCACCACACTGGGTGCCTGGGTGGAGATTTGCTTTCCTTCTCAGACACCTTTTAAAAATCATAGAGTGGGGCCGGCGCTGTGGTGTAGCAGGCGAAGCCACCACCTGCAGTGCCAGCATCCCATATGGGCGCTGGTTCTCCACTTCCCGGCTGCTCCACTTCTGATCCAGCTCTCTGCTGTGGCCTGGGAAAGCAGTGGAAGATGGCCCAAGTCCCTGGGCCCCTGCACCCGCGTGGGAGACCCAGAAGAAGCTCCTGGCTCCTGGCTTCGGATTGGCACAGCTCCGACCATTGTGGCCATTTGGGGAGTGAACCATCGGATGGAAGATTCCCTCTCTGTCTTTCTCTTTCTCTCTGCTTCTGCCTCTCTCTAACTCTGCCTTTCAAATAAATAAATCAATCTTTTTTAAAAAAAATCATATAGAAGAGCGCTAGAGAAACCTTGAGTTTTAAATGTTCATTTCAAACGTGAGTCCCAGAGATGAGAAGAACTGGCCCCCGGGGGCCGAGAGGTCAGGCCCCTCTTCTGGCTCAGGGTGGGCCAACTCCTCTCATGCCACCCCTGGGTTCCACAGAGGGTGGTGGGAGGGGCCCACAGGGTGGAGGAAGACACCTGCAATTCTGAGACGTAGAGGATGGGGTGGGTGCTGGGTGTCACAGAAACCAACCTTTGTGAGTGGAGGAAACGGATCTCTTGGAAACGATTTTTCTGCAAAATTCTTGCAAGGGACAGGGACAGGTGTGAACCTGAGAGTCAAGGGGACAGGGACTGGCAGCCAGCAGAAGGGTACATTGGGGCTGGCCTCTTCCGGTTCAAATCGGATCCCTGGACCCCTGAGCTGCCTCTGGGAGGTGGAGCGAACACCACCTGCTCTGCCTGCTTTGTGCCGTTTCTGGAAAGAACCCTGAACTTGAATGGACGGGTGCTGAGCTCCCGCTGTGTGCCAGAGACAGTGCCACGCACATCAGCCTAAGTCTATTGTTGGGGTAGGCACTGTTGCTCCCCCTTTATTCCCAAAGAAGCCTGGCCTGGGAGAGCTGGGGGAATTTTCCCCAAGGGAGATGGCCAGGGATCAGCAGAGCCAGGGTCTGACCCAAACAACTTTGATTCTAGAAGCTGTGCTGTCAGTCATGCTGTACTGCCTTGGGGACAGGCGTTTTCTGATGAATACGTAAACACTTCTAGGGTGGACCAAGGCCCTGGGGCAGCACAGCCCTGAGGATAAGTACAGCAAGAAGCAAACAGCCCTGAGAGCAAGGAGCTGGTGGCAGGGGGTGGTGGATCACCCATTTTCATCCTCACAGTCCCAGAAGCCTCTCTCTTGGCCTGACTCTTACTCGAGGACACAGGGAGTCCTCGCAGTGGGGTGGGAGGTGCACCGGCTCCACTGACTCTCAGGGCCTTGGGGACTTGGGAGGGGCTTGGTCCACTGAACAGCTTCTTGCCCATAGCCAGGCCCCCTGCATTCCTCCTGACACCCCAGTTCAACCTTTCCCGTCTCTGTCTTCCTTGAAAGGGGCTGGCGTTTTGAGCCCCCAGTGTGTCTGTGGGGCCTGGAAAAAGCCCTGTCTTTTCTCTAAACACTTTCTGTGCCATCTGTGCTTCCCCCGCTTAAAATGACTGACCTGGGGCGGGCAGTTGGTGCAGTGGCCAAGACACCCAGGGGGACACCTGCATTCCAACCTGAGGGTGTTTTGGGGCTCGAGTCCTGGCTCCACTCCTGATTCCAGCTTCCTGCTGGTGCACATCTGGAGTACTCGAGTCCCTGCTGCTGCCCAAGAGGGAGACCTGGATGGAGAGCCAGGCGTAGCTTCAATTGTTGTGGGCATTTGGGGAATGAAGGAACAGTAGACTCTTTCTCTCTCTCTCTATCTCCTCCCCCCTTCAAAAAATAAAAAATAGGGGCTGGTGCTGTGGTGTAGTGGGCTAGGCCTCCGCCTGTGGCACCAGCATCTCATATGGGCGCCAGTTTGAGTCCCGGCTGCTCCACTTCCGATCCAGCTCCCTGCTAATGGCCTGGGAGGGTAGTGGAGGAAGGCCCAGTTTCTTGGACCTTCATGGGGGGCCTGGAGGAAGCTCCTGGCTCCTGTCTTTGGACTGGCTCAGCTCTGGCTGTTGCTGCCATTTGGGGAGTGAACCAGTGGATGGAAGACCTTTCTCTCTATCTCTCCCTCTCTCTGTAACTATTCCTCTGAAAATAAATAAATAAAATCAAAAGAAAAAAATAAAGAAATGAACACTTTAAATGCAGCGATCTTCTGGCCCAACAAGTGGGCTCTGGCTCCAGGAACCCCACCCCTGGAGGAGAAGGGATGGTGGTAAGTGCACAGTGTGGGAGGTGCCGAGCAGTACACAGGGTTTGGGAACGTGGACACCAGGAGTGTGTGGTGGTGCTGGTGGAGGAGGTGGTAGGATGTGGCTGAAAAAAATCAGCCATGCGTCTCTCACGACCCACTTTTCTCAGACCCTGAGCTCACAGCACTGGGCAGCTATAGGGCTTAGAGGGACAAGAACAGGAACCACACCCAAATCCCAAGCCCCCCAAAGCCCACGAGTCAATACGAGAACCACGGACTCCTTCCACGCCTTGTCAGAATCTATCCCCCGCCCGCTGCCTTCCAGGTGAAGGCCCAGGCTGGTGAAAGGCACGGCTCTGCTGGTTTTGTCTTCCTGCACCTCCCCTTGCTGAGCAGCCTGGTTTCTGGGGGTCCCTCTCAGTAGCCCCGCAAGAGCAGAGGGAGAGGTCTGTAGGCAGCTGACCCGGCCAGAGGTTAAGCTGGAGAAGAGGCTAAAGCCAGCCTGGGGCCCGTGAGACCCCTGCAGTGGGGCCGGTCGGAATGCACTCTGTACGTGTAAAACACACATCAAACTCTCAGTAGGAAAAAGCAAGGTCAGTCCGTCTAGTGATCCTCACGCTGATTACATGTTGAAATGATAATCCTATTGATAAACCGGGTGAAGAAAAATAGATGGTGCAAGCTCATTTCACTTGTTCCTTTTGTATAACACGGCTATCGGGAAATTTAAAATTGCACTTACGGCTCGCAACACGTTTCCACTGCCGTGCTGACCTGTCCCAGGACTGCGGCCTCACACAGAGGTCCCGGCAGCCTCGCGACGCAGATGAGAAAGCCAAGGCCCTCCCTGAGCTCGGGGAGTGGGTTCGAGCTGCAGGCCTCCGTGGGGAAGGGGCGTGCACCTGCTCCTCACTTCTTTGGGAAAGCACTCACGGAGCATGGCAGGGCTTCAAGAACCCCCTTTTACCCCGCCTGCACACTCAAGGGATTTCTGAAACCACTGGCAGGCCTGGGGACTCGGCCCAGTGTGGCCACAGCCTCAGGCGGCTCTGATGAGGCCTGAAGGGCAGCACTGCCTTTGGCCATCTCTGGTTCAAACCCATCTTTCTTTCTTTCTTTCTTTCTTTCTTTCTTTCTTTTTTTTTTTTTTTTTTTGACAGGCAGAGTGGACAGAGAGAGAGACAGAGAGAAAGGTCTTCCTTTTGCCGTTGGTTCACCCTCCAATGGCTGCCGCGGCTGGCACGCTGTGGCCGGCGCACCGCGCTGATCCGATGGCAGGAGCCAGGAGCCAGGTGCTTTTCCTGGTCTCCCATGGGGTGCAGGGCCCAAGCACCTGGGCCATCCTCCACTGTACTCCCTGGCCACAGCAGAGAGCTGGCCTGGAAGAGGGGCAACTGGGACAGGATCCGGCGCCCCGACCGGGACTAGAACCCGGTGTGCCGGCGCCGCTAGGCGGAGGATTAGCCCCAAACCCATCTTTCGATCTCATCTGATTCCCTTCTAAAATGGGAACCCTGTACGCCCCCTGCCATCGTAGGCAGCAGCTTCAGTGAGATAAACATGCCAACACCTGTAGGCGCCTGGCCTGGGTGAGTCTCAACACACAGCCTTTGATACAGTTGGCAGCAGTGCTAATGATCACGGCAGCAGCGTGGGGCTTGCTGGGAACAAGTGGGGTACCGGCGTACAGTAGGTGCTCAACGCTCGTTATAGGATCAGGCCTGATTCTTACCCACTGTCAGCTGAGTTCCCTTCCCGAAGGTGAGTGCGGGAGACCCGACGGTCATGCAGAAGTAGACGCCAGTGTCTGCAGGCTCCACGCTTGTGAGACTGAGAACAGACCGGGTTGTCTCTCGAGACACAGTCAGCTTCTCCTTTTCCACCCCCGTGCCAAGTGTAGTCCCTTTCTCGGGATGCCATGAGGCCAGGAACTCGAGGTCACTGTCCTTGCTTAGGACCCGGCGCTGTCGCAGCCAGAAGACAGTCGCACTAGGGCAGGTGCAGTACAGCATCACCGTTTCATTCGTCTGAACCATGATGGCCTCAGGGGTCTGCTGCAGGGTTGTGCTGCCGTGGACAGCTGGGAGGAGCCAGAGGAAGAGAGACCACATCAGCACAGTTACCGGGTCTCGGAGCCACACTGAATCAAGTGTCACAGAGAAACCATGCAAGAGCGTGCCCAATGCCAGGGTCCAGGGACTGTGTCAAATGAAGCTGCGGGCTCCTAGACTCAGAACTCATGTCCCTGTCAGCTGCCAGGAGACCAGACCCAAATGCCAAGTCCAGTTTTGTGAAATGGACCAGAGAGAGCTGCCATTTTTTGATCACAAAAATTATCTCAACCACTTCTCAAACTGGTTTAAGGATCAAAACCTATTTTTGTTTATTTTATTTGAGAGGCAGAAACACAGACAGACAGAGGGTTCCCATTTGCTAGTTCACTTCCCAACAACAGCTGCCTGCAACAGCTGGGGTGGGGCCGGCTGAAGCCGGGTGCCAGGAACTCGATCCATGTCTCTCAAGTGGGTGGCAGGACTGAACTATGCGAGCCATCCCCTTCTGCCTCAGTGTGTGCAGGAGCTGGAATCAGGAGTGGACCTAGGACTCCAACCTAGAAACTCTAATTTGAGATACAGGCATCCAGCTGGTATCCTTTTAAAAAAAAAAGATTTATTTTAATTATTTGAAAGGCAGAGTGACAGAGAAAGAGGAGACAGAGATCGTCTGTCCACTGATGGCTACCTTTGCTGGAACCAGGTCGAAGCCAGGACCCTGGAATTCTATCTTGGTCTCCCAAATGGGTGGCAGGGTTCCAAGTACTTGGACTATCTTCCACAGCTTTCCTAGGAACCTTAGCAGGCAGCTGGACCAGAAGCGGAGCAGGTGGGACTCAAACTGGTGCTCTGATAAGGGATGCCAGTGTCTCAATCAGAGACTAAACCCTAACCCTACAAGATATCTTCTTACTCCCTAGGCCCAAACCCTTGCCTCTGATATCAGAATTTTTTAGAATATTTATTTATTTGAAAGGCAGAGAGAGAGAGAGAGAGTGAAAGAGAGAGACACACACACAAACACACACAGAGATAGAGAAGACAGAGACAGAGAGATCTTCCATCTGCTGGTTCAGTCCCCAAATGGCTGCAAAAGCCAAGGCTGGGCCAGGTCAGTGCCAGGAGCCTGGAATCCCATGTATGTGTCTTATGTGGGTGGCAGGGGTCCAAGTACTGAGCCATCATCTGCTGCTTCCCAGGTGCATTAGCAGGGAGCTGGATTGGTAGCAGAGTAGCTGGGACTCGAACCAGCACTCTGATATGGGATGAGGGTGTCCCAAGCAGCAGCTTAACCTGCTACAAGCCCAGACCTTGGCTTCAGAATTTTTGTCCCCATTATGTGGATGAGGAAACTGAGGCATTAAATTACTAGTTCGGGATCTCATTTACAGATACTGAGTGGCCCAGGATTCAAATCCATGAATTTAAAGCGTGAAGCCGATGCAGGCTGCCTTTTACCTTGCCCGGGGGTCACTCTAAGTCAAGACTTCCCAAAGACTCTATGCTGCTGACTGAGACCCAGGACAAGCTCAGGGGCACAGGCAGTGCACACGGCTGGTCTGATCAACCTTGAAGAGGACTAGCCACCATTTCCGGACAGACGGCAGAAGGATCTCATTGTCCCCTGGTAGACAAAATTAACAGCCTGCCACTGCCCAGCCCGGCAGTCACTGGGTCCGTGTTCCCAGGGGTGGGGTAGTCTATTTTAATCTTTGAGGGAGAGCGCCTGGAAGGCAGGGGCTCATTCATGAAGAACTAGAGGAGGACCCACAGCTTGGCCTTGAACCCAGCCTCTGCCCAGGACCAGCTGTGGGACCTCACACAGGTCACCCAGCCTCTCTCTCCTCTCTGTGTAGGAGTAGCTTGGTGCTATTGTCCTGCACGCCTCTGAGGCTTAGAAAGATAGAAACGGTGCTGGTACTATAGCACAGCGTTGGGTTAAGCTGCTGCCTGCGATGCCAGCATCCCATATGCGCACTGGTTCAAGTCCTGGCTGCTCTAGCTATGGCCTGGGAAAGCAGTAGAAGATGGCCCAAGTGGTTGGATCCCTGCACCCACGTGGGAGACCTGGATGGAGTTCCAGGCTCCTGGCTTTGACCTAGCCCAAACCTAGCTGTTGCGGCCATTTGGGGAGTGAACTAGTGGATGGAAGATCTTTTTCTAACTCTGCCTTTCAAATAAATAAAATAAATATTTAAAAAGAAAGGGGAAAGGAAGGAAGCCCTCTCCCCCATCTCAGGGGTTGTTCCTGGCAGGAAATAAAATCTCAAAGAGAAGGAGCAACACAGGTCCCAAGGCCACGGACACTGAGCCTCCAACAAACCCAGTCTGACCTGAGAGCCTTTAAGCTTGGCTGTGGAGCAGAGAAAGACCCTGCAGATCAAGACAGGAGCAGCAAGGCAGAGGGGACACAGACCTGGCGCGTGTGTGGGTGTGCAGGAGGAGCTGGCTTCCCAAGTCAGGGCCCTGTGTCACAACCCTGCCTGTACTGGCGGCTCAGACTCCTGGCCTCATGGCTTCCTTCGTAATCACTGATGAAATGCACTTGAACGCGATTCCTCTCCCAGACCACTCTAAGCTTCTGCTTGCATGGAGAATGAAATGGCAGCAGGGCCCCCACTGACTGCTGGGCCTTCTCTTTGTCCCCAGATGCCAGTCTGACTTTTGGGGTGCAGCAGAGCTTCTTCACTGTGGGGGTCACTGACTCCTTGTGGGTGTTTAATGAGCTCGGACATGACTACATTTATTGAGCTCTGCTGGGCATGGGACAAGCATCATCTTACTTAACCCTCACCAGGCCTCGGGGTGGGGGGCACAGACCGTTTCACACCCATTCTCTGCACAAGGAAGCAAAAACTCACACAGCTGAGGGATGAAGCTTCACACCCAGGCCGTGGGGCCTCGGAACCGAGCATGGAGCCCCGTGATCCTCTGCGGGATCAAAGTAATGGGCTCACAAGCATAAGCGCTCAGCGAGTCGCAAATACACAGATGCCCGAAGAAGTCCTTCCAAGCAAAGGCCAGAGTGACTTCTCGATCGTGCCAGGCCTGCGCTGTGAGTGTGCATGTCCCCCTCTGGTGGACACGGCCTGGGGCCTCTCTGAGTCTCTCTCCTGTCTGCTCGCTCTTCCGCCTCTGGGGATGGACGCACAGCCAGGCCTTGCCACACCACACATGTGGCCTCATGTGACCCTGTCAGTAGCCCACCCACTCCACTCTTAGGAGGGACCTGCTGTTTCCAGGACTGGCCACAGCTTGAGTGGCTCTGAATGGCCCCATTTCTACTTAATGACGTCGCTGAATTCAGCGGGTCGGAGTCCGGGCCGCCAGGCCTCGGGCCTCTCTCTCCAGAATGGCTGGTTTGCAGCTTTGGGGGCTTGACAGCAAATCAACCACGGGTTAGTGGGCAGTTTGGGGGGTGAGGGGCTTCTTCCAAAGGTGGTCTGTACGGGCTTAGACAGAAGGACAGTGTAGACCCTCGCCTGGGTGCCAAGATCAACATTCTGGCCGCAAGGCTGCCTGTAGTGAGTCGCCCAGCCCAGGACACCCAACAATAGGGACTGTGGGGGAGTTGGGGTCACAGAAGCCCACCCTGCCAGCACTGAGACCTGGCAGCAGCCGTGTCCCCCGCACCACCCAGGCTTCCGGGAGGTAATGAGAATGTGTCCACTGCATGCTGGGCCGGAAGTGCCCGGCACGAGGGCCAGACTGAGTGCTGGACTTTGCCGGGGCAGATCCTCCCGGGGACCCTGGACAAAGACATTTCCTCTGCTTTCCCGACCTGACCTCTCTTGTCTTCCTTTCTCCCGCCCTCTCTTTCTGCCCCTAGACTCCTGCGGAGAGAAGGGTGCCCCTCCTCTCCATCCCCGGGCTCTCTAGGGACTGGAGGACAGAGCTCCCGGTGTTGCTTAGGGACCTCGCCTGTGGCATGCCTCACCGGGACCACAGCCGCTTCTCAATTCCGTCCGGCGCAGACCACCCGGCCCTGCCCCGCGCAGCCCGTGAGTCTTGGCGTCTTACCGGCGAGCTGCGCAGCCAGGAGGAGACAGATCCGCGGCTGCATCCTGGGTCGCCCGGACACCTGGTCCCCGCGGGGCTCCGGGGAGAGAGCAGGGTTGGGGCGGGGAGCGGACCAGCAGCGGGCACCGGGGCGGGGTGGGACGGGCCGGGGAGGGGAAGGGGCGGGAGTCTGGTGTGCGGAGCGCAAGGTCTCCGCCCCCATCCTCTCACTCGCCTTTCCCAAGAGCAGGCTTAGGACCCTCTGCTTTCCCGGAAGGAGGTGGCGCCCCTGACTGGCGCCCAGCAGGTGCAAGCGTGCGATGGTCTCCTGCCCGCGGAGAGCTCGGAACAGAGCTGTGCCCGCACGTGACAGCGAGGCTCGGAGGGGTCAGGATGTTCAAGGTCCCACAGGAGTGTGGCTGGAGCTGGACCCTGCCCTCGGGCTCTGCTCTGCTCTTCTGCTTTTTAAAGATGTATTTATATGAAAGGCAGTTACAGAGAGGAGAGACAGAGAGAGAGGTCTCCCATCTGCTGGTTCACTCTCCAAGTGGCCACAATGGCTGCGGCTGGGCCAATCCGAAGCCACGAGCCAGGAGCTTCTTCCAAGTCTCCCACGCGTGTACAGGGGCTCAAGCACTTGGGCCATCTCCTACTGCTTTCCCAGGGCATAGCTGGATGGGAAGTGGAGCAGCCAGGACTAGAACCGGCGCCTATATGGGATGCCGGTTCTCATGGTGAGTCCAGAGCCCTCTAGTGGCAGACACCAATTTACAAAGCGACTGGCAAACCGGGGACAAGTCTCAGTTTCACAAGCGAGCAAGAAGCTGCTGGCAGCCAAGAGGTACAGAAGTAGTCACATACGGTGATGCACAGAACGGATTTTCCAATATGTCGACTCCCTTTAAAATATTTATTTATCAAAAAAGAATCGCGTGGTACGAAATCCAAAATAGAAGGAAATACACTTAAGAGAAGTTAACTCTCCCCTCCCCCTCCCCCCCCAACCCGCCCCAGGCTCCCCCATCCCCTCGGCTCCTGTCCTCACAGCTCTCAGCGTGCAGTGTCTCTGGAGCCGGGCTACGCGTCTATACGGCGCTTATCTGAAACGTGCTGTTGGACGCCAACGTCGAGTGCTTTGGCAGTTATGTCTACGGAATTTTGCTGCAGAAAGGCCCCTGGCTGCCGTGTTTTGCTGCGACGTCCACGTCTGAGGCAATTTTCCTACATTTTCTTCTCACGCGTCTGCACGCTCGTGGTTTTCATCCGTGTGCGGGTCCGCCAGCTGGGTTCTGTACCAGAACGGAACGCGAGGCAGGGACTGCGCGTTCTTCGCGGCGGATCCCTGTCCCCCACCCCGCCCGGGGCTGCGGCCTCAGCAGCCCCCGCCGAGGATGGCTTCGTCCCACAGGTCCCGCTCCTCAGAGCCGGCGTTCCCCGGCGCCCGCTTCTCCCGGCCGCGCCGCCGCTCCGCCCTGGCGGCCGCCCGTGTGTGGCGCTCGCGCTCTCGGCGTTGGCGGCCGCGCGGCTCGGCCTTCCTCCGCCCCAGGCCTGCGTTCTCCTTGTGGGATTCTGCCGCCGCCTGGCGCTTCCTCTTGGCTTCAGCTCGCGCCTCCTGGGCGGCGGCTTCTCCTTGGGCCTCCTCCCGGGCCCTTGGGCCTCCTGCACGGTGGCCGCGGCTCTCCGGGCCCGGGCGTCCGGAGCCCTCCGCGCCTCGTGCTCCTGCTCCGGCGGCGCGGCCCGCGGGCTCCTCCTGCCCACGTGGGCTCGGCAGCCAGGTGCTTTGGAAGGACCGCAGGCGTCTCTGCTCAGAGCCGTTGAGGAATCCCAGTCTTTGTCTGGGGTGACCAGTGTCAGGCCAGGCGGGAACCTGACCCTCTGTGGGCCTCAGCCTTTCGTGGGGAGCTGGGAACCTGGGGGGACCCCAGGGGAAGAGGCCCGGGGGCGCAGAGCCGTTTAGGAATCCCAGTCTTTGTCTGGGGTGACCAGTGTCAGGCCAGGCGGGAACCTGACCCTCTGTGGGCCTCAGACTTTCGTGGGGAGCTGGGAACCTGGGCGGACCCCAGGGGAAGAGGCCCGGGGGCGCGGCGCCCATGCGGCCTCTTTCTTGGGGAGCCGAGTCCTCTGTCACCTTTCTGAAGCAGATCTTTGGTTGTAAGCCTCTGGCTTTCTGCTTTCTAATATAAGCCTCAAGTTCGTGTTGGAAAGAGTCGTAGGTCTCGGGATCTTCCATGATCTTGTCTGTGCATGAAGCTGCCCTGGGGAAAGTGGGAGGGAACCTCCTGTCGAATGTGTTGTTTCGTATGGATGTTTTCTTTGTCCTAAGAAAAGATCAGAATGAAATTTTTAGGAGACGTTAAATAATGCCATATACTGGAAATACGATGTATTTCCATCGTATTTGATGTACACTGAGAATTGAGAAATATAATGGAATAACAAAAATGGGTCTTTTTAAAAAAAGATTTATTTATTTATTTGAAAGAGTTACAGAGAGAGAGAGAGAGGTCTTCCATCCGTTGGTTCACTCCCCAATTGGCTGCAACAGCCAGAGCTGTGCCAATCCGAAGCCAGGAGCCAGAAGCTTCTTCCGAGTCTCCCACGTGGGGCAGGGGCCCAAGAACTTGGGCCATCTTCTACTGCTTTCCCAGGCCATAGCAGAGAGCTGGATTGGAATTGGAGCAGCCGGGTCTTGAACCAGCGCCCATATGGGATGCCAGCGCTTCAGGCCAGGGCATTAACTCACTGCGCCACAGCACCGGCCCCCCAAAATGTGTCTTAAAACTCTGTGTTGGGAAGCATTGTGGTGTAGTGGGTTAAGCCACTGCCTGCAATGCTGGCATCCCACATGCATGCCAGTTCCAGTCCCGGCTGCTCCACTTCTGATCCAGGTCCTTGCTAATGTGCCTGGGAAAGCAGCAGAAGATGGCCCAAGTGCTTGGGCCCCTGAAACTCTCATGGGAGACCTGGATGCAATTTCAGGCTCCTGGCTTCCACCTGGCCCAGCCCTGGGTATGTTGGCCATTTGGGAAGTGAACCAGCAGATGGAAGATCTCTCTCTCTGTCTTTGCGTTTCTGTCTGTAACTATAACTTTCAGATAAATAAATAAATAAATCTGGGGCCGGCGCTGTTAAAGCCCTGGCCTGAAATGCCGATATCCCATACGGGCGCCGGGTTCTAGTCCTGGCTGCTCCTCTTCTGATCCAGCTCTGTGCTATGGCCTGGGGAAGCCCAGGCCCAAATCCTTGGGCCCCTGCACCCACATGGAGACCTGGAAAAAGCTCCTGGCTCCTGGCTTCAGACTGGCACAGCTCCAGCCGTTGTGGCCATCTGGGGAGTGAACTAGCAGATGGAAGACCTCTTTCTCTGTCTCTACCTCTCTGTAACTCTGTCTTTCAAATAAATAATATAAATCTTTAAAATAAATAAATAAATCTTTAATAAAAAATGGAATTGTGTCAATTGGAGGATCTATAAATATATAACATAAATTTACATAAAAATTTATCAGTAGTTACCCTAGGTTTAGAAATGATGGGTTATTTTAGCCTTACCTGTGTAATTAAGAAAATCAAGTCACTTAACGAAAACAGACTATCAAGCAGTGTTCTCTAAAAACAGAACTGGCTAGCTCCATGCTTATATGCCCAGAAAGGAAGAATAGATCATAAACATAATCCCAGGTCAACACACACACATTCTACGGCCACTCATTCACACACTCCCTTTCTATCTTGTGTCATAGCTGGGGTGTGTCACACAAAATGTACAGGAGACCACAGGTTTGGACTGAGCTCCTGCACTAGACCCAACAGGTCAAACCAAAATGGAGTTAGCAGGCTGAAGTCGATGCCACCAAGCAGCAACTAAGGCCTTTATCAGGAGACAGATACCTAGACTCCCAGACAGGCTGGTGTTAGCTGGCATGATGAGGCAGCCCCCTGGGCTCCCATCTTTGCAAGGACGGCCTCTCCGGAGCAACCGATCTCTTTGTGCTCTGTGTCTGCTTTCCCCAGCGCTTCTCTGTGAAACCACCGCCCCTACTCAGTTCAGTGCAACACTCACTGTTTACCGAATGAGGGGTTGTCCAATTCCAGAAGCACAAATAAAAGCCAATCAAGATCTGTAAGCTGGTTTTCAATAATTTTTGTCATTTGACAGGTGAATGACCTGAGGGACACATTGTTTGCTGTGTTAAAATCTGAAACTATCAATCTTGTCTCACGAATGAGAAATCTGAGTCACAGAGGGTAAGTAGCTTGCTTGAGGTCATGGCCAAAAAGTGGAGGAAGCAGGATCTGAACCCAGGCAAAGAGGGTCCAGAGGCTGCTTGCCTGGCCACAGTCCCTAGCTCAGAATGCTTTCCACCTCTGCTGTGGGTACCAGCCTTACAGCTATGGCCAGCAGCAGAGGAGTGATGACAAACACAGGGTGTGGGACAGTGTTGGGCACACAGCTACTGTCCGTGTTAGCTGTTCACAATCGCATTATTAGGATGCCCAGGGAGGCCACAGACATTAACTGTGTTGCTGGTGGTCTGTTCTGAGGATGTACCTCCATCTTACTTGAATGTTTTGTTTTCCCGTGTAGTCAAATAATTATGTTTGTGCTAAAAACAGAATGAAAAGATCACAGCAGCAATAAACACCATAAAACCAAATTCTCCCTACTGCCACTTTCCGGGGCTAACTGGATTACTCTAGACTAAACTAGAGTCCACCCCTTGTGAAGTCAGATTGGTATCATGGCTCACAACTCAGACTTTTTTTTTCTTCCCAAACAACTTGCATCCCTTAACAACGTTTTGATCAACAACAGACTGCATAGAGTGGTCCCATAAGGTTACATCACTTGGTGAGGTCACAGACATCTTGGCTTGGGTGAGTGCACTCTGTTGTGTTTGCATAACGGTGAAATCACCTAAGATTTATCAGAACAGGTCCCTGTTAAGTGATGCATGAGTGTGTTTAGATTTGTTTTCTATTTCAGTGCATAACGGATAGACCTCATTTTTAAGAGGGCTGCTTGGTGTGCTGGAGCAGCTATGGGCCACGATTCTTTGTTTAACTTGCAGATTTAGGTTCTTGCTAGCTTTTAGCTCTGGCTAACAAAGCAGCAGTGTTTTGCATGCACAATGTCAGCTGTAGAGAGGGGCTGAGGGACAGGGCCCTCATTCTTAGGAAGATCTTGATCCCAAAATATGAGGGTCCTTCTAAAAGTTTGTGGAAATCTGAGTTAATTAAAAGATGTTTATTTTGGTGCAAAAATATTTTTTAAAACAACCATACATGGGTGGTAGATTTTAACTTAAAAAAAAAATTGAGCAACACAGAGAGACAGACAAAGAGAAGTATCTTCCATCTGCTACTTCACTCTCCAAAAGACTACAACAACTGGGGATGGGCCAGGCCAAAGCCAGGAGCCCAGAACTCAGGGTCTCCCACATAGATGGCAGGAACCCAAACACTTGGGCCATCACCTACTGCCTCTCAGGGTGGCCATTAGCAGGAAGCTGGAGTCAGAAGCAGAGCAGGGACTCAAACCCAGGCACTCAGACAGGGGATGCGAGTGTCCCAAATGACACCTTAACCACAACATTTAGTCCAAGGGAACTCATTATGAAAAAGATACACGTGGGATTCAATTTTTTTGTTTTACACCAAAATGAATTTCTCTTTTAGTCCCATTTTCCATGATCTTACTTTTCTTTGTGATTTGAGATACAGAGAGAGTGCTTCACTCCCTAAATGCATGCATTAGCCAGAGCCAGATGGGGCAGGAGATGGGATCCAGGAACTCAATCCAGGTCTCCCATGTGGGTGGCAGGAACCAAATTACTTGGGCCATCCCTGCTGCCTCCTAGGGCCTATAGTAGCCAGAAGCTGGAATCAGGGGCCAGAGTTGGATATCAAGCACAGGTACTCTGATGTGGCATGTGGGCATTTTGACAGCTAGACTAAAGCCCACCCCTCAACAAAACAAACTTTTTGAAGCATCCCCATAGCATCTAGAGTGACCCTGAAGTTGCCAGAAGAGGGGTATAGTTCTTCTGTAAAGGGTTGTAAGTTATTGCAAATTGGCCAGGTGAAATGGGATTTTAGAGTTACCTTGAGTCATTTCTTCATTATGGAAGGAGAAGGAAGCATGAAAAATTGGATTGCAAAGGGTCTTGTAAGTATGGGATAGTGGCTGGGGTGCCCAGTCTAAAAGAGGGCACATAGAAATGGTGGTCACCCCTGGCAGGACTCTCCTAGAGGGCATAGGTGTGGCGACTTCAGGGCCACAATCCTGGCCGGAGCAACTGGGAAGGTGTGCATTTGGAGCCAGGCTGGTCACTTGCTCACGTGTTGACTTGTGTAATGGTCTTACTTTCGTAGAGTCTCAATGCCCTCGTGTGTAGTGTAGTCTATGGTGTGAGGTTTGACTCGGTAGGATATGGTTTTCTCTATCCAGGACATCACACATTCTCACCGAGCGTGTATTCTCAGCTAGGTGCTATGTGCTTGGCATTGGGCACATAGGCCAACTGAACACCTGTTCCTCGCCCTGGGGGAGCTTACTTGTCTGACGACCAGACAATAAACAACTTCACACCCCAAACAGGCAGGAGCACCTTGAGCAGTGTTGGAAAGGAGAGAGGAGGGGTCTGGGCTGTCTTACTGGGATGCGGTGAAGGAAGGGGACGTTGGGCAGAGTGGCTACACCTGCTTCTCTCGCTCCTCACCACTGACCCTGCCTGACTCAAACACTGGCAGAAAGTGTGTGTTGCACCATGAGCTCCACCAGGCCTGACCTACCGCCCCTCCTCCACATGCCCAGTCTGCCCTTTGCCTTCTGCCCTGCGCTGCGCATCATCCCTTGGTGGTGTTCCTTCATCCATTTTGACCCTTGGCCTGCCCTGGAGCCATTCTCCAGGAAACAGCCAGAGGAATCCTTTCAAAATCCATCTAATTGTGTCTCTTCCAGTCAAACACTTGCAGGTTTCCCCTTGGTTTAAGTTACACCCTTAATAAAGCTCCAGGCCACCACCTCGAGCCTCTGTCCACCACTCAGGCTCTGTGAGCCACCCTACAACTGCTGCCCTCTGTCTTTCTCAGCCTTTCTGGGATCCAGGCTCAGGCCATCCTCCATATTCCTAGCCCTGGCCCTTGCCTAGTCACCTTCTGCCCTTTCTACACATCTGCCAGGTTGTCATTCCCCAGCAGGCCCCTGGCAGCCCGGTTTCATGCCAGCCTGGCTTTGTTTTCTCAGCTGGGATGTTCTATCTTAGCTCGGGGCTGCTGCTGTGGCACAGTAGGTTAGGCCTCTGCCTGTGGTGCCAGCATTCCATATAGGCACCGGTTTGAGTCCCAGCTACTTCACTTCCAATCCAGCTCTCTGCTATGGCCTGGGAAAGCAGTGGAAGATGGCCCAAGTCCTTGGGCCCCTGCATCTGCATGGGAGACCCGGAAGAAGCTCCTAGCTCCTGGCTTCACATTGGCACAGCTCCAGCCATTGCAGCCCACTGGGGAGTGAATCAGTAGATGGAAGATCTTTCTCTCTGTCTCTCCCTCTCTCTGTAACTTGGCCTCTCAAATAAATAAATTAAAAAAAAAAAAAAAAAAGAGGGGCCTGGCGCCATGGCTCACTTGGTTAATCCTCCGCTTGTGGCGCCGGCATCCCTCATGGGCGCTGGATTCTAGTCCCGGCTGTTCCTCTTCCAGTCCAGCTCTCTGCTGTGGCCCGGGAGGGCAGTGGGGGATGGCCCAAGTGCTTGGGCCCCTGCACCCGCATGGGAGACCAGGAAGAAGCACCTGGCTCCTGGCTTCGGATCGACACAGCGCCAGCCTTGGTGGCCATTTTGGGGGGTGAACCAATGGAAGGAAGACCTTTCTCTCTGTCTCTCTCTCTCTCTCACTGTCTTTAACTCTACCTGTCAAATGAAAAAAAAGAAAAAAGAAAAAAAAAGGCTCTACTATAGAGTAGAAAGCAAAATTGGCAAATAAATCAATCAATAAATTTTTAAGAGTCCGGTCAGACCAAGGTCTCTTAGATGTTTCCTTCCACTTAGAGCTCTTCCCAGACAAGGAGCCTGTAACCCACTGTCTGCCCACAAGGGGAGCTCGCTCTCCCTGCAGGCTCCCAGCTCCATGCATGCCCATCCTGCCTTCCACTGCTGGGACCACAGGCCTAGGAGACCCCAGCTCGCCTCACACCTCACGAGCAGCACCATCAGCTGGCCCTGCTAGCTCTGCTCCCACGATGCATCAGGAGCAGATGCATACAACTGCGGCTCTTCTCTCCACTGAACCAGGCTATCACATCCACACTGGATCAGCACCAGCACCTCCTAACTGGTCTCCAACCTCCTGCTTGCCGACTGCCTCCAAGCCAGCAGCTGGGAGAATCCTTTTGATGTAATGTAATCCTGGCCAGTGTCACTGCGGGCACAAACCATCTGGAGTTTCCTCCCTCCCTTGCTGAGAAGAATTTCTTGCCCAGACCCCACACTGCCGGTTCCTCACTGAGAGCCTTCCCTTTGCTCCGCTCACTCCCCCAGCCACACTGGCCTCCCAGCTGGAAGGTTCCACGCGACACAGCAGCCCCACGGCCTTTGTACCAAGTCCCCTGGTGACCCTTCATCCACACCCAGACTCCTTGCCCCTGGCCCAGGCTGGAATGCCGCCTTCTCAGAGCTTAGCCCCCTGCTCCAGGTGTAACACTGCTGCCTGCTCCCCACTCGATTTCCCCATCACCTAACACAGGGCCTCCCAACACGTGTTGCCAAAATGCTGACTCAGGCTCTGCATTTCTTCCAAGCTCCCTGGTGATGCGGACGCTGCTCACACCCATTCCACACCGTGCGTGGCAAGGGGCTGCCAAGCTACGCAAGCTTTGACTTTGGTCTACTTCCTGTCTTAGCACACTTGTCGACATGTTCCTCACAAGCAGAGGTGCTTCCTCACCCTGTCTGATCGTGCCTGACAAAGAGCAGAGGCCGAACTACCATTCACTGTTGAATCAATGAGTGACGCAAGGCCCTGACCTTGCTTCAGAAGTTCGGGGCCCACCTCCCATCCCAGGGGTGCTACCTGCCTCACTTGAGGTCACGGATGCCTCCTGCTTGTACCTCAGCCGTCTGCCTTACCAACTAGCACGCCACACGCCACACGCCACACGCCACGCCCCACCACACATTAGAGGGAAAGGGAAACAGGCTTGGTTTCCTTCTTACCTGAAGTCACCGTGCGTTACTTTACTCAGAGGAAATTCCATCAACAGATAGAAAACCCTCACTTCCTTAAGCCTACAAGCCTTTGGGTTCTGCAGTTGTGTAAGAAGTCCCAGGACACTCCAGGGTGGAGGTCCACCGGGGGGAAGCCTCAGAGAGAAGCCCCAGCACAGGGTGAGAGTTTGCTCCAAAATTCCCAGCTTCCCCGCCTTCTCAGTTGCTCACACTTCTGGCCACGCCCCTGGGCAGCAGGGAAGCCACACCCTTTCCTTTGTGTCTGGCTTCTAGGTCTCAGGAGGCCTTCTCATCCCATAGCTCCTGGCTTTCCTGAGAAACATATCCCATCATACGCCCTAATCTGATTTAGGAACACCCAAGTTTAGCCTTGGAATCCAATCAGCCTATAACCTAACTCACATTATGAAATCCTGTTTGAAGAGTTTACCTCAAAAAAATTTTTTTTCACAAAACATCCACTTAAAACATTGACATATAGTAATTGTACATATTAATGGGGTACAGTGTGACATTTCAATACTTGTACACAGGGGCAGAACAGCACTTTTAATGCCACTTGGGATGCCTGCGTGCCATGTTATAGTAGCTGGGTTTGATTCCTGGCTCCACTTACAATTGCAGTGTCCTGTTAATGTGCACCTTGGGAGGCAGCGGGTGATGGCTGGAGTATTTGGAGATCTGGATTGAGTTCCTGGCTTCTGGCTTCAGCGTGGCCCCCATCCCTGCTGTTGCTGGTGTTAGGTGAGTGAAGCAATGGATAAGAGGTCTCTCTGTCCCTATCTTTCTGCCTTTCAAATAAATTAAAGGCAGGCATCCCAAGTGTCTTCCCATCCCCCCCCCCTTTTTTAAAAATATTTTATTTATTTATTTGAAAGGTAAAGTTACAGAGAGGCAAAGAGAGAGAGAGAGAGAGAGAGAGAGAGAGAGAGAGAGAGAGAGAGAGAGATCTTCCATTCTCTGGTTCACTCTCCACATGGCTGCAGTGGTGGGAGCTGCGCTGATCCAAAGCCAGGAGCCAGGAGCTTCTTCTGGGTCTCCCACATGCATGCAGGGTCCAAGGATTTGGGCCATTTTCCACTGCTTTTCCAAGCCATAGTAGAGAGCTGGATCAGAAGTGGAGCAGGGGCCAGCACCATGGCTCACTTGGTTAATCCTCTGCCTGCGGCGCCGGGATCCCATATGAGCACTGGGTTCTAGTCCCAGTTGCTCCTTTTCCAGTCCAGCTCTCTGCTGTGGCCCGGGAAGGCAGTGGAGGATGGCCCAGGTGCTTGGGCCCCTGCACCCGCATGGGAAACCAGGAGGAGGCACCTGGCTCCTGGCTTCGGATTGGCCCAGCGCTGGCCATAGTGGCCATTTGGGTGGGTGAACCAACGGAAGGAAGACTTTCCCTCTGTGTCTCTGTCTAACTCTGCCTGTCAAATAAAAATAAATAAATAAATAAAAAAAGAAGTGGAGCAGCTGGGACTTGAACCAGTGGGATGCCAGCACTGCAGGCAGTGGCTTTACACACTATGCCACAGCGCCGGCCCCCACATCCCCTTTTGATGGCATTGCCAAGGTATCCAGGTTTAAACTTACCAGGAAGGGATATTCTTGTTGCTGTGGTAGGACAAGCCCTGTCCCACCCAAATTCCTTAAGGCTCTTCCAGCCCTGAAATAGACCATGGTGTCAGATATTTACAAGCCAAAAAGGTCATTTTCTCACCTTATGCTTTCTTTTTAATTTTTTAAAATTTTAAACTTATTTTAAATATATATGTATATATTTATTTAAAAAGCAGAGTTACAGAGAGAGAGGGAGAGACAGAGAGAGAGAGAGAGAGAGAGAGAGAGAGAGAGAAAGAGAGAGAGAGAGAGAGATCTTCCATCTGCTGGTTCACTCCCCAAATGGCCACAACGTCCAGCAATGGGCCAAGGTGATGCCAGGAGCCAGGAGCTTCATCTGGGTCTCCTAGTAGGTGGCCCTCTTCCATCTGGGCCATCTTCCACTGCTTTCCACTGTGCATTAGCAGGGAGCTGGATCAGAAGTGGAGCAGCCTGGACTAAAACCAGCACCCATAAGGGATCCCTGTCACAGGTGGTGGCTTAACCCACTACACCACAATGTCAGTTCCAATACTTTCTTTCCTTGGCTTTCTCTGATTCTCTAAGATGCCCCTGTGTCCACAGATTCGCTCTCTTTCCTGGAAGTTAAAGTTCAAATAACCTAGGTCTATTTCATCCGCATACGGAAACAAGTACTGCATACTTCCCGATTCCACACCTCTTGTGGGGGCTCCTTGCCCTGGTTTTTTTATTAGCGAATTATTTATTTATTTATTTCACAGATAGAGTTAGATAGTGAGAGAGACAGAGAGAAAGGTCTTCCTTCCGTTGGTTCACACCCCCCCCTCCAAATGGCCGCTACGGCCGGCGCTGTGCCGATCCGAAGCCAGGAGCCAGGTGCTTCTTCCTGGTCTCCCATGTGGGTGCAGGGGCCCAAGCACCTGGGCCATCCCCCACTGCCCTCCGGGGCCACAGCAGAGAGCTGGACTAGAAGAGGTGCAACTGGGGCTAGAATCCGGCACCCATATGGGATGCCGTCGCTGCAGGCGGAGGATTAACCCAGTGAGCCACAGCGCCAGCCCCTTGCCCTGGTTTTTAACAGGTGATGTGAAACTGCTGTGCACGGCTTCTGCTGGAAAGGAATTTCACACTCAGATTTTCTTTCCTTAACTGACAACTCCCTTTCCCTGTCTCCTTCCATCTTGTTATAACATACCCAAGGATGACACACTCCCACCTCTGTAAACAGTGGAAGCTGCAAAAGCACCGCACCTTTAGCAGTGACTGTGTCTTTGAACCCTTGAGAGTGAACATGTTTTTGTCAATAGAACTATATTTTACCTATAGAAAGATCAGTGGGCTCTGGGGGACTCCTGTTTTAAAAATTTTTTGAAAATTGTTTATTTATTTGAAAGGCAGAGTGAGAGAGAAAAAAAGAGGAGAGATTATGCCAGTGGTTTTCTCCCCAAATGACCACAACAGCCAGGGCTGGGCCAGGCTGGAGGCAGGAGGCTGGGACTCCATCTGGGTTTCCCACGTGGGTGCAAGAGTCCAAGAACCAGGGCTGTCCTCTGCTGTGGTTGGTGGTGCTGCTCGCGTCTCACCGCAAATTGTAGCGTAGTGAAGCTGGAGTCCTGTCGGCTTTCTTTCTTTCTTTCTTTTTTCTTTCTTTTTTTTTTTTTTTTTTTTGACAGGCAAAGTGGGCAGTGAGAGAGAGAGACAGAAAAAGGTTTTCCTTTGCCGTTGGTTCACCCTCCAATGGCCGCCACAGCTGGCGCGCTGTGGCCGGCGCACTGCGCTGATCCGATGGCAGGAGCCAAGTGCTTCCTCCTGGTCTCCCATGGGGTGCAGGGCCCAAGCACCTGGGCCATCCTCCACTGCACTCCCTGGCCACAGCAGAGAGCTGGTCTGGAAGAGGGGCAACCAGGACAGAATCCGGCACCCCGACCGGGACTAGAACCCAGTGTGCCAGCACCGCAAGGCGGAGGATTACCCTATTGAGCCGCGGCGCCGGCCCTTGCTTTCTGTTTTTTCAAAAGACTGATTTATTTGAAAGGCAGAATGACGGGCAGGGGAGGTAGATCTTTTTATCAGCTATCTCACGCCCCAAATGCCTACAATAGCCAGGCTGGACCCACGAACATCAGAAAGCCAGGAGCCCTGAACTCCATTTGGATCTCCCATGTAGGGGGCAGAGATGCAAGTACTTGAGTCACCTGCTGCTTCCCAGGCTCATTAGCTGGAAGATGGATCTGAAGAGGAGTAGTCTGGGGCTCAAACCAGATGCTCTGATATGTGGTGGGAGTGTCCCAAGCAGAGGTTTAACCACTTGGGCCACAAGGCTCTCTTTATCAAAAATTTAAAAAAAAATTTTTTTAAAGGAGTGAGCAAGCAAGAGAGTGAGTTCACTCCCATCCACTGGCTCATTCCTCAAATACTGGCAATGGCCGGGGCTAGGCCAGGCAGAAGGCAAGAGCTGGGAACTCAGTCCATGTGGCATGGACTCAACTACCTGAGCTGTCACCCCTGCACTGGCAGGGAGCTGGAGTTAGGGATCTAACCCAGACACTCTCATATGGGGTATAAATTGCTGGGGTAGACACCTGCCCCAGTAAATTATATCTGGTGCTCATGGAAACACTCTGGACAGCTGAACTATGTAGTGTGTACTCTATGACTTTTCTCCACGCTTTACTTTTTTTTTTTTTAAGATTTATTTATTTGAAAGTCAGAGTTACACAAAGAGAGGAGAGGCAGAGAGAGAGAGAGGTCTTCTATCCGCTGGTTCACTCCCCAATTGGCTGCAATGGCAAGAGCTGCACTGATCCGAATCCAGGAGCCAGGAGCTTCTTCCAGGTCTCCCATGTGGGTGCAGAGGCTCAAGGACTTGGGCCATCTTCTACTGGTTCCTTAGGCCATAGCAGAGAGCTGGATTGGAAGTAGACCAGCCTGGTCTCGAACTGTGCCCATATGGGATGCTGGCGCTGCAGGCCAGGGCATTAACCTGCTGAGCCACAGCGCCAGCCCCTTCTCCATGCTTTAAATATCCTTCCAATATAGCCACTAACTTGCTTATCTATTGTGCTCATTATTTCTTCTCTGTCTCTTCCCATTAAAATAGAGCTTCACTTAGGCAGAGATTCAGACTGTTTTCCCAAGGCCCTAAATCATGTCTGGCTCAAATTTGGTACTATAAATATTAACCAGAAAAATAAAATTACTTTTCCCTGACTTTACTACATTTCATTTTCCTTGGAGTTAACAATTGCCTTCTTTTTGCCAGTGCTCAGTTGTCTATGTACTAATCATTGATGTATCCCCCTACGCTTCCCAGGGTCCAGAGTCCCAGGGTCCTAGGGTGTGTCTCTCAGTACATCAGATGTCTATGTTCTCAGTTTCTTTTTTTTTTTTTCTTTTGACAGGCAGAATGGACAGTGAGAGAGAGAGAGAGAGAGAGACAGAGACAGAGAGAGAGACAGAGACAGAGAGAGAGAGAGAAAGGTCTTCCTTTACCATTGGTCACCCTCCAATGGCTGCTGCGGCTGGCGCGCTACAGCTGGCGCACTGCGCTGATCCGAAGCCAGGAGCCAGGTGCTTCTCCTGGTCTCCCATGCAGGTGCAGGGCCCAAGGACTTGGGCCATCCTCCACTGCCCTCCTGGGCCATAGCAGAGAGCTGGCCTGGAAGAGGAGCAACTGGGACAGAATCCAGCGCCCCGACCGGGATTAGAGCCCGGTGTGCCGGCGCCGCAGGCAGAGGATTAGCTTATTGAGCTGCAGTGCCGGCCTCAGCTTCTTTTTTAAAGATTTATTTTATTTATTTGAAAGAGTTAGAGAGAGAGAGAGAGAGAGAGAGCGCAATATCTTCCATTTTTCTATTTGCTTGTTCATGCCCCACCAATGGCCAGGGCTGGGCCAAACTGAAGCCAAGAACCTGGAATTTCATCTGGGTCTCCCACGTGGTTGGCAGGGGCCCAAGCACCTGGGCCATCTTCCGCTGTTTTCCCAGGTGCATTAGCAGAGAGCTGGATCAGAAGTGGAGCAGGGGCCGGCGCTGTGGCTCAGCAGGTTAACATCTGGGCCTGAAGCACTGGCATCCCATATGGGTGCTGGTTCGAGACCCGGCTGCTCCTCTTCCAATCCAGCTTTCTGCTATGGGATAGCAGTAGAAGATGGCCCAAGTCCTTGGGCCCCTGCACCTGTGTGGGATACCTGGAGGAAGCTCCTGGCTCCTGGTTTTGGATTGGTGCAGTTCCAGCCATGCGGCCAACTGAGGAGTGAACCATCGGATGGAAGACCTCTCTCTCTCTCTCTCTGCCTTTCCTCTCTCTGTGTAACTCTGACTTTCAAATAAATAAATAAATCTTTAAAAAAAAAAAAAAGTAGAGCAGCCAGGACTCGAACCAGCATCCATGCGGATGCTGGTGTTGCAGGTAGTGGCTTACCCCATTGCACCAGAATGCCACAATGCTGGCTCCTGTTTTCTCAGTTTTATCTTCATGAAGCGTCTGGCAAGCTCCCACGTGGAGCAAGTGTTTGTTTAACTGGTATTTTCATTCACCATTGTCTAGGACATCCTCTTAACATTTTTCTTTTGCTAGTCTTCAGTTTTCTAGATGTCATATCTTCATCCTTCTCTTAAATGCTCATTTTGGAAATATGAAGGGTCTTCAAAAAGTTCATGGAAAACATATTACCAAAAAAAGACCTATGCATGGATTTCCATTTTTTGCACTAAAAATGTATCTTTGGGAAAAATTTCAATTAGCTTTTTATTTAAAATTCATTTATTTGAAAGGCAGAGTGACACACACAGAGAGTCAGAGAGACAGACAGAGACAGAGACAGAAGACAGAGAGACAGAGAAATATCTTCCATCTACTGAATCATTCCCCAAATGGCCAAAGCAGCTGGGGCTGAGCTAGGCGGAAGCCATGATGCTGTAACTCCATGTGGGTCTCCCATGTGGGTGGCAGGGGCCCAAGCGCCTGGAATATCATCTGCTGCTCTCTCAGGTCACTTTAGCAGGGGGCTAACGGCTAGGAAGCTGGATAGGAAGCAGAGCAGCCAGGCCTTGAATGGGCACTCCAATGGGAT